GACCATTTTTTAAAACCACTTAATCAGAAGATCCTATCCAAAAATTTTAGAACATACAGTTTAGAAGCATGAGTGCATTAGTGAATTATGTGATTTCCTCATTCTTGACTTAAATAAATATATAATAAATGGTTAAGAGTTATTTCCCTTTTCATAGTGAACATAATCTGGACTAAAAATATATGTTATTTTTTCAAAACTTTAGTAACGTAATCAAAAGGATAACCTATATTATTATTTTGCTTCAGATAAATGTGTTATTAGAGTGCTCAGTGCACCTGAAGGCCAGCGGAGTATTGCAACTGCAGGAGGTGTTCTCGTTCTCTTCCTCTGGCGATGTCATGTCTTTATTGCTGGATGCAAACAGCTACGGCAAACAACCAAACAACTACAGCAGCTGTAAATTTATGCACGCACATGCAGCTGGCTGCATTTTTTGCAAGGCCCTACTGTTGCATGTTGCCGCCTTTTTGGGGCGTTTTTCCGCAATGTTCCGAATGTTGCAGGTGCAACAACAGCAGCAGCACGTGGCATGTGCAACAATGATGTCAAACAAAATATTCAGTTGCAGATCTAAAGTGAAACCGGTGGGGGTGTCCAAACAGATACATTTCAGCCTTGATTGGTTTGTCACCACGCGTTGTCGCTGGTCCGAAAAATTCCAAATGCCTGACATTGGCATTTTTGGCTGAGGAATGTTTGGTTTGACAAATAGTGGTTTAGTGGGAAAATTCAATGGAATTGCGGTTGAAATAATGTGCGAATTGACAAGAGGTTGGGAAAATATTTTTGGTTATTTAAATCCAAACTAAATTTTTGATCAAGTTACCTTTTGAGTGTTAAGTTATAATTTTGAGGGTTTTTCAAATAATTTTTGAGAATTTATCGACTAATTGTATTAATGGGCTATTATAATCTAACATATCTATACTCTATATTAAACATCGAAATATTAATTTTTAGTTTTCTAATTATTGTTCGTGCTTGAAATGTATCATATTAAATAATAAGTAAAGGGGTATGATAAATATTATCGTGTAATCTATTACTAAGCCATAGTTCAACCTTTATTATCAAATATTCAGAAATAAAATAAATCATTAGTAAAGACAATGCGAACACATTAAAAAATATATATCTAAAAGTAACACTTCTGTATGCTTTCTAATTTAAAGTTTATTTGTTAACTGCTTTCCTTACTGCCAATTTTGGGCCACCGCTCGCCCAATTCAAACATTTCCGCATTACCTCAGTCGTCTAATATTGACTTGGCCCCAACTGCCGAGCCACTTAGCCGGACTTGAACAAATAGCCCAAAGGACAATTGGCCCAGCCATCGAATAACGACAAAAACACATGAATAATGCAGGCTATTTACTGGTGCCCCGCCCCCTCGCCAATCATCAGCGCCTAAGCATCGAAATTAGCGCAAACAACAATTAAAAATGCTTGAATGCATTTAATTATTTTGTTGATTGTTTGTGCAAATATGTATGTTCAAATCAGAAAAACTAATCAAAAATGCAATAGAAAAAATACATTTTGCGCAAATTAATTAAAATTATCGAGGCGAACGAACAAATCAACAGAAAAAAGGAGTAAAATAACAAATGGCAGAGCCAAAGCAACTAATTAATGAGTTGATTAATAAACAATTAGAGGGCAGAGCAGGGGAAATAGTTACCAAATCGATGGCAATTTATGAGCTGGTAATTGACGCCCACACACACACGAAAAACCGGGCCCATAACTCAGCACTTTGGCCAAGTGGCGACTGTTGTAAATCAAGTGAGCCCGAGCCCCAAACCAGCCAACTTGTTTGCTCTTTTTTTTTTTTTTTGGCATGCAAACTTGGCCCAGCTGGAGTTGAAAAGTCTGGAGGAGAAAAATAAAAATACAAAAAAAAGGTAGTATGCCTGCCCACTCTCAGATCCCCGGCTAGATACCCGAAAATTTTTATTTAACCTCCTCTACCACGGAGTGCCTAGGCAGAAAAGTGGGTGGAGCAGCCGGGATCCCGGTGGCAGCCACTGCACTTGGCTTCTGCAGTTGCAAATTTCTTACTTCGGACGGGTACCCACCCGGCCACGCCCACTCCTTTTTTTCTCAGCCTCCTCCAGCTGCCCTGGGGTTCTTTTTTGGGCCCATACACACACACACACACACAGGCACAGCAACTGGCGAACTGATTGTTCAGATAAGTGGGCCCACGACTTGACTATGCCTTTGGTCGGTATTACAATACCCGTATTGGTTCAAGTCGCAAGCGCAAATATGTTAATTGCAGCAGCGCCAAACAGAAGCCGAAATTAAGGCGAGGGGGTCTTTTATTTTCAATGAGGTGTATCAGATTGTCAGAGTTCAAATCGCAATTGAAATAAATGTTCCAAAAGCGTTAATTGCTTCATTAACAAGCAAATTACCATACAAATGAAGGCATTATCAAGCTGAAGTTTAAAAGTGAACTTTATTTGGTTGTCTTTAAGATACGATTTTATACATTTACCTTTGAGATTTTTTATATTATGGAATTAAAAAGCACTCCATTTATGTTTTAGATACTTTTGAATATTTCAGATTTAAATTAAATATAATACAATGCTAATTACGTCGAGTCCTATTTAATTTAAATCAAAAAAATAATTTGCATATCCTATGTATTTGTGTATTATAATTGATATTTACTTTTAGCAATCATTCCCAATTTACCATTCTATTTAAACTAGTTGCCAGTTAGTTTCCAAAGTCCAAAATATGTTCGGAAAATGACCCAAATTTAAGCAAATTGAAACTAATTTAAAGACACAAAACAGCGTTAATTGATCAACATTAGAGCCAACATTTGATTGCTTAATTTACATGAAAATTAGCTAAACCTGAAGCTGGGTGAGAAGGCGAAATCACAGGAAAGCCGAAATAGCTGAGGAAATACCGAAATTGAACCAGAAATAATGGTGTCAGGGCCAAGGAGTCATCCCTTCAGTGGCGAGGACAGTGTGGAGTTCATAAAGACGCAGACCATTAAGACGTTTTAATTCTTGATTTTACACCCTCGTCGTGGGTATTTTTCGTTTTTTTTTTTTTTGGGCCCAAGGAGTCCGAGAACTTGGTCGTGCCTCATGACCCACGAGGGCTGTCAATTTCTGGGCTTCATGCCCCTCGTCTGTTGTCGTTTTATTTTTAATTTCGTCTGAGCGAGTCTTTTTTATGCCGTCGAGGCTCATTAGATTTGCAAAATATTTCGCTTCTATCCACTGGCGATGGTGGTCGTTAATGTTATTAGGTTCTTGGTCTCTGACCCCAGAGCGCTGGGCAAAATGCAATTGGATTAATAAATGCCATTACGCATTGCAAGTGTTTTATTTTTATTCCATTTTTTGGGATGGATAATTTGTATTTATGCTGTCATTTTATGCCACATTTAAGTCGAGTTATGGGCAAGGACAAAGAAGTATACAAAGTGAAATTTGGGGAGAAGAAATGGGGAAAAGAATTAATGACGGCCTGGCGCAGAAATCAATATGTTGGGACATGGTACTCTAATTCTTAGAGGTATCATTCAAAGTGCTACACTTTACAAATGGTTTTTAATACAGACCTAAACTTAGTTTACCTCACTTTCATATAAATTTTTCAATGTAAAAAATTGTATATTACAAATTTATAAGGGAAGTATATTTTGTTTTAAAATATACTACCACATTGAGTCGCGTAATGTTAGCTAACAAAAAAAAAGTAATGTTTAATTTGACGTGGAGGATATGGAAAAGGAAATGGAAATGAGACAAATGTCAACAATCGTTGGGTTATTTTAGCATTTCACAGGGTGACTTTGTGGGTGTGACCCCGACACTTGGCAAACACATTTTCCAACAGCAATTAGACCACCGCGTTTTTTTATTTTAATATAAATGAAGTGAAATTAAAAGGCAACTGTTGACAAAGGCCGGAGAGTCACATGTGGTCACGGGCAACGGAGTAACAGTCGAGCTCGACGGTCACCATCAAAGCAAACGCACGTGTGTGGGCGGTCAACTTGGTCCTGCAGCAAATGCTTTTGACACCTTTCAAGCGAGTGGGTGTGAAAAAAGCCCTGAATAAAAGGTCACAAAGCCGGACAATTGAAGAGGTCGTTGTGGTCGGGGTCACCCGCACCCAACATCCTTTGGCTGACAGCAGCAACGCCCCGAGTTCATAATAATCAAAAATCTCTGGCCACTTGCTAATGAGGGAGTTCAGAACGAGCTCAGTGAACTCGAAATTCGAGGAACTTGAGTAACGTAACTTAGACGCATCTCAATAACTTCCAAGCTGACACCTTCTGTGATCTTAAGTGTTCAGGTGTTCTGGTCAAGGAACTGAGGTCAAAGTTTATATGGTTCACAAACATTAAACATGTAAAATGTTTGATATGGGTGACTTGGTTGATACAAATTTTTCTTTTTTAAGTAAAGTTTATGCTTATATTTATACCCTTGCAGAGGGTATTATAATTTTGGTCAAAAGTGTGCAACGCAGTGAAGGAGACATCTCCGACCCTACAAAGTATAACTATAAAGTATAAACTTTTATTTTTCACAAAAAATCATGATGCTACCTCTTATGAAAAGTATTTTGTTTATATCCTGAACAAATCACCTCGATATTTCTGTTTTTTAATTACAACCCTTGGAAATAGTGGTCGAATCTTGGAATGTCACACCTTGTTGAATTCGTTATAAAATTCTCTATGAAGTGGCTTTATCAGACATTTTCATTAAAAAATTCTCTGATTTTTATGTTCTTTGCGAGCAAATAGTAAAAAGTTTGATATTTTTAAAGTTAAAAAATATTTATAATCAAGTAGACTTTTTAAAATGAAAGTCTTAAATAGCTCTTAGCTAGGGTCTACTTATATATTATTTCCTATTAAATGTTGGATGGTATGTAACATCAAATCAAGTAGTCTATCAGTTTTTTGTAAGGCTTTCCTACGGCTGGTCACACATCCCCAAAACATTTTAAGACGAACAACACAGAATCACATATTTTTTCAAGATAATAATTGAAAAAAAGGAACAATCTGTTTTCTTTCTAAAATGAATTGGAATTCCCCGAAAGACGAGCCATCGGCTTCTTCAAACTCGTCAACTCGCAACCAGAAGCAGAATTCCGGAGCCGGAGCTGACTCAAACTTGGTGAGACCTCTAATCGTGACATCGGAGCATGCTCCTAACACCCCTAATGAAAATCCACAGCCGCCAAACGGACCGAGGCGATCGGCAAGAATCGCCCACAAAAATGAGCTTAAGAGGCTGGCCATGGCCGAAATAAATGAAGTCCCTTCTGAGCCAAAAGTCAAAATGTCGAAGAAAACAGTAGGGAAAAAGGTTTCCAAATCTTTGCTACAGAAAGCAAAGCAAGCGAACCTGGTAATGTCCCCGATTTTCAGGACAGCCATTTCAGGATCTGTTGCCTCGGTATTATCCACTATTTCTGAAAATTCGGTATTATTCACAATTTCTGAATTTTCAGAAATAGTGGATAATACCGAGGCTGAATTTTCAGAAATAGTGGATAATACCGAGGCAACCGATCCTGAAATTGCTGAACCTGAAATAGTGGCAACCGAGGCAACCGATCCTGACCAAATGGCTAATCCAGAAATCGTGGATGTTACCGAAACAGCCGGCCCTGAAATTACTGATCCAGAAACCAATGAGACTGATGATTCACGTACAACCAAAAACAAATTGAAATTTAACTGCTGCATAAGCTAAAAAATTAATTATGGCTTGTGTTTACATTTTATTTACGTTGTGTAACTTTTGTTTTAAATTCTAATATTATTATTTGGAACCAATACTGAATGTTTTTTTGGGTGGTTCGAAATTAATATACATTTCGGAATGCATATTGAAATAAATGAGCTTTAAGATTTAATCCGACCCTTTAAAGAGCCGTCCGAGTTTCGTATAATTGGGTAAATAGTAAGAATAAAGAAAGAGTCTACTTTAGGCATTTAATTAATGATATTATTGCTTTCTGTGCATGAAAGATTGAAAGATAAATTCTAAAAATTAGAGCCTATAATATAAGTTAATTGATAAATTAAAATCTGGTATTAGATCTAGAAGTTGTGTGTGGGGCTTTCATAAAGTTGGTATCTAGTTGGCCATGCTCATCCATTCAATCACTGCATTCGGATATCTCCGTTATTTTATCAAAAATATTTAATTAATTCAATGAGCTTTATAATAGGGCAGATCGTTTAACAACATTCCCAAAATATTTTCTTTCTTGTTTATTTTATGAAACGTCGAAAAAAGTATAAATAGTATTTGTAAGTAGGTAAGTAGGTAAGAAATTAATGCAATACACGTGTTTTGATAACTCTGTACTAAACCTTATCTACGTAATTTTAGTTAGAAGCCCAATATAACTTATAAATTAAAAGAGCTATTATAAATGTGCTAGCAACCAGAATTGTATACATTCTTAATTATCAGATTTTGTTTCCAGCTTCTTAGGCTTTTTTTTAATTAATAAGTAAAAATCAATTATTTACTAATCAACGCTTACTACACATACTCCATCTATTATAACACATATCAGACAATAACCCAATTCAGGCATTACCCCAGGGATAAAATCTTCCAAAAATCCCAGTCGTCTGAAATTCCGCTGTCGCCCAAGTAAATTGAATTCTTTTCGGCAAACGAAACTAAATGAATTAAAAGTGTTCGTCTGCGGGTTCTTCTCATGTATATTTACGTGTATATAGTCAACGACCACGCCCACTGGAGGTGGAAAAAATAATTAAATGATAAACTAATCTACACCCAGGCCTTTAATAATCAGGCGCCAAAGAGGAAGAAACGAGAGGCCAAAAACTGATAGGGTTAGGAGATATAAGTGTCTGAGTTTTGGGGAAACGGAGGGTGGAAATGGGAAAAGCAGAGGCAAGGGATATATACCCGACCGGGTGTCCTTGCTGGGTTGGCAGACTGGGCAAATAATTATTATTTTTCGAAACTATAAATCTGCTTACGAAATATTTTCGTGCATTTTTCTCCAAGCCACCCACTGCGCAGGGGGCTAAGTGCTGGGGCACTATAGGGTTAAGGGAGGAGAAACACCAGACTGCGCCAGCTTCGGCAATGATATACAGTTTTCAATTAAAAATTATAGTCTAATGAAATTTTCCAGCATCGCCGGCAGCAGAGTTTTCTGGGCTTTTTATTTTCTTTTTTTTTTGGTTATGGAAAGGGGTAGAGGAAAATAAAATTAATTGCCAGTTTCTGTGGGTAAAATAACCTTTAAAAGGTTTTGCAGAAAAGGTTTCTCAATCACCTTTAGTTTGTATTATGTTTCCCGCACTATTCCCCATTTATGTTTATATTTTGCAGTGGCTCAAACATTTTGTCATCTTGTTGGCACTCTTTTGATTTATGCTATTTACTTTTTATCAAGCTGCCGTCTGCACTGGCTCAAAAATAATTACAAAGCTGGGTAACTCTCCTCCCTCAACTCAACTCCTTCTTGGCTACATTTTTCGATCAAATTTCTTAGTTCACAAAAACTACAGGCCAACACACACACATGCACCCCAGCCACAAAATATTTTGGTATGAAAAATGTCCAAATTGCTAACCGAAAAATGTCCTTTTAAACTGGGGATAGGGCCGGGACAATTCTGCTCTGTAGTTTGCTTTTTGTTTGCTTTCCAATAGTTGCCTTCCACCCCCTCCCCCCTCCCCTTCAGACACAAAAGTGGAAGATGAGGACGATGAGCACCTGTCCCATAACTGGAACCCTGTCCATTGCAGAACTCAACCCCATCCTGGCATGTAATCCGAAACATTGTTGGTTTTAGTTTTTCCGGACTACGGTCTATAGTTTGAGTAATTTGCTTTTAAGCGGTTTTTAATATCAAAGTATTGCCGAAATATTTCCTAAAATACGTGTATAACCAACCCCCAACGCGACACGAAACTTTTCATCCCGAAAATGCGTAGAAAATCTGTTTGAAATTGTTATGTCATTTTTATGCAAAATATTTTCGAAATAACAGAAAGAAAAAAGCGCTAAGCTGGACCTCGCGCCTTGTGACTGTCATAAAAATGTAGGAAATCGTAACATTTAAAAGCTGTTCTTATGAACATAATGGGATCAGAGGGGAAAACCTAATACCCAGAAAAAAGAAACCGAAAGTGAAGAAGTCATCAAAATGTAACTCAAGACATTTACCGAGACTAATTTCTGTCCAGTCCAGGTTTTTCGTGGGCTCATTTTGCCATTCGTTTCACTTTTTTGTTTTTCCTTTTTCCTTTTTTTAGGTGGTTTTTTCTCACCCCAACAGTTCATTAGCCAGAATTTACAGTCACTTTTGTGATATGCAACCGAAATTGTACACAAATGTAGGCCCAACAAGAAAGGAAAGCTAACTTCGGGCGGAGCCGAAGTTGATATACCCTTGCAGAATACTCTGTAAATTATATTCTCCAAAATTATTCATATGATGCATTCTTAATACTCATAAAAAATCCGAACTTCCTAACTTTAACAACAACAAAGTTATGGCATTTCCAATCGTTCAGTTATATGGCAGCTATAGGATATAGTCGGCCGATCCTTATGAAATTTGGTAGGTCGGATTGATTGGCCAAATATAAAACCCATAGAAAATCCCAACTTTCTAACTTTACAAACACCAAAGTTATGGCATTTCCGATCAATCAGTTATATGGCAGCTATAGGATATAGTCGGCCGATCCCGGCCGTTCCGACTTATATACTGCGTGCAAAGGAAAGAAGGGTGTGTGCAAAGTTTCAATCCGATAGCTTTAAAACTGAGAGACTAGTTTGCGTAGAAACAGACAGACGGACAGACGGACAGACGGACAGACGGACAGACGGACATGGCTATATCAACTCAGGAGGTGATCCTGATCAAGAATATATATACTTTATAGGGTCGGAGATGTCTCCTTCACTGCGTTGCACACTTTTGACCAAAATTATAATACCCTCTGCAAGGGTATAAAAAGGTGGCTTTGTTTTTGAGGGATGTAGATGTACTGTAGAATACTTTGGTCTAAACATCTGAGGTCCTCGTCCACAATTACCATGAATATTAAGCCACAATAAGAGCCAAAAGCTACAAACTGAACTCGCAATTGATGGAGCCACAGATGTTTCGGTGTGGTTGTGGTTTTGGTTTTTGGGGTTTCGGCCTCACCTTCGACCAGGTAATTGAAGGAGGGTTGGCTTTCCTTTCGGTCGGCGGTTTCTAAATGGAGATATTCCAGAAGTACCAAATGCATTTTTAATGAAATTTATGTAGGTTTGCATTAGTTAGTTAGATGGGAATGGAAATAGAAATGGTTTTCTGCGGTGTGGTTTGATAATGTAGCTATTACAAGCTGAGGAAATTATTAAAAATTTCATTAGCAGAATAAGTATAAATCAATTATATTAAAAGACACGTTTTTGTAAGAAGAAATGGTAGATATCATATAATTAACAAAGTTTCATTTATTTACTGCCTTTACTACTTTTTCAAAAATTAATTGTCGTATCTACATCGATGTATCATTTAAAATGTCCCAATAAATTTTCTAAAACAGGATCAACCCATTTCTAATATGCGTCTAAAACACAAAAGCAAATAAGTGGCTTGCAAAAAAATAACAGCAAACTTGCACATTTTTGGGCTAATCAAGTGAAGTCCCTGGAGAAATGCGCATTCATTTAAAAATTCCAAATAACAAGTTACCCTTACAGAACACTCCCCTTCCTGAATATTTTTTTGGCCTGCATCCAGTGAACTACCCATTACATACGCAGTTAACTCAATTCCTCTCTTTTCTGTCCATTTGCAATGTTGCCAGCCAAATTGAATTCAAATTCAATTTGAACTTTTCAATTTGGGACTCGCAGAGGGAGGATAACAACAGCAGAGCACATTTCGAATGCGTAAAATGTAATGAAAATTATGAGTTCAACCTGAACCTGATCCTGAACTTTACCAAAAAAAAAAAAAAGAAGTGAAAGCTAAATGAAATTTTACAAACCAAATTGTTCATGCACTTTTGAGCAACACTTTCAGCGTTAACAGGGCAGACAGAAGCTCAGACAGTTGGCCAAATGAAATGAAACATACTCGTAAATTTAAATTGAAATTGAAATACGGCAAACTTCAGACGTGAGTCGTGTTTTTGTTGCCCTTCGTTGCCGCGGGCAGCGTTTTTGTAGCTGGGTGTGACATTCGACGCCCGACGAGGGGAATTTTCCCCATTTGCGCCACCCCCACCCCACTCCCCGCCCAGACACCCACTAGTTATGACAGTTACAACTTTAATCAGACAACCCCCATCCACCATTTAGTACATTCATGACCAGCGAAACTTTTATGAGGCACTTGGCCAGCTGATGGGTCCTGGACTTCAGCAATCCAGGTACATTCGCTGCACAGAAGAGGTCCTGGACGTTCCACATTGTTGACCAAACATAAAAAAGATGTTCGCCGTCAAGTGAGTTCTGAATGTAGATCAACTGCGAGTTACCCTCTAGACAAAGAAATTGTAATACATTTTTAAAATCCCAATCAATCAATTTGTTTGGTAATTTGTATTCTTTAAAAACAAATTTGTTTCAGTATTAAAAATTTGCATTAAAAAGCATATTCGACTTAATCTTACAAACCATTTGCAATTGTATAAAATGCTTAAATTTACCTCAACGAATCGAATTAGAATATAAAGGGTTAAGTCAAGTTATGCAA